GGTTCCGGGCGGGGAGCCGGCGTGCGGACGCCGCCCGGGCCGAGAGGCGCGCGCGACGGGGGCGCTGGAGAGCCCGGCCGCACACCCCGCACCCTGGTTTCTGGGCGTTCCTTTATTTAAAAAAATTTTAAGAATGTGTGTGTTTGGAGGTGGGGCAGTGGGAGGGATTGCTGGCTAGGCCGCTTAAAGCGAGAGGAGAGAGGAAGTGGGCTGGGGCGCCAGGCGCCCTCGGAGATGGAGGAACGCTGGTGGCGAATGTGCGCCAGCGTGGCCTCTGCCGTGGGCGCGCGACAACTGTTGGATGCTGCCCGCATCTCAGGGGTGTTTGTCCTTTTGCACAAATCAGTTTGATGCAGGGGCGCGGGGGATTCTAGCGCCTTCAAAAAAAAAAGGCCTCCTCTGTGCTGTGCCTGGGTTACGTACACTGACAGTTGAGATACTTCTGCTTCTAGAATTCTGCATGAGGTACAAAGGAAATGCGATTAACCCGTGGGGCAGGAGGTAGCTGCCAAGGTATTTAAAGGATAAGTGGTCATTTCCCGGGCTGGAAAGTGGGAAAGACGTGGCAGGGCTCAGAAACTCTTGGCATTGTCTCCCCAAGCCTCAGCCTCCGAAGTTTGTTTTCCTTTTTCTTTGTTTTGTGTTTTTAACACCTGTGTAGTATTCCATTGTCCAGACCGTAACTCTGGATGTAATATTGAATGGTAACCAGCTACTGTCTTTGTCCTGCGGACTCCTTGCCATGCTTTTTAAAATTTCTGTTAATTATAATGCCTTTTGTAGTTTAGTATAGCTATGCTTTACTGCTTAACACTTTATTTTAGCAATTACAAGAATTCTCAAGGTAGCTGAATGTATCAGAGGATTGGAAACTTACCTCTTACAGATTTATATTTTTGCTGTTTTAACAAAACATAGTTTTATATAGGTACCAGTTAAGGAAATTTCCTTCTTTAGCTGTTTTGTAAGAATTCTCACTATTAATAAATATTGAAGTTTCACAACTGCTTTTTGCATTTGTTGACACCATCCTATTGTTTTTCTTCTTGGTTCTCATAATCTGGTGCATTCTGGTAATAGGGGTTTTTTTAAATATTGAATTTTATTGGAATAAATCCTACTTGGCCATGATATTGTTATTATTTACTGTTAAATTTAATTTGCTGATGTTTGTCTAGGAACTTAATGTCTATAATTAGTAAGACAGGCCTATAATTTTTTTCCTACTGCCCATGTCTGTATTTGACAGTAAGATTATAGTGCTTCATAGCAAGAGTTGTGAGTGTTTTGTAAAACTCTCCCTTAACCATCTGGACTTAGCTTGTTTTTCAGGGGGACCCTCTTTCTTACAGCTATGTAGATATACATATATACACAAATCTATATCTACATATGTTTGTATGACTTTGGGGTTTTCTTTTTCCTAGAGATGTTTCTATTTTATCTAGTTTTTCTTACTAATTTGGGAATAAACTTGTTCATGTTGTTCTCTCTGGGCTTTTAAAAATCCACTTCTGGCTGTGTTCATGTCCGGTATCTCATTCTTAATATTGCTTATCATTATTGTTTTAGTCTTATCAGTCTTACTAGTTTTTGTTTTTTTGTTTTTGAGATTGAGTCTCATTAGTTGTGCTTGGTAGAGTGCTCTGGCATCACAGCTCACAGCAACCTCAAACTCTTGGACTTAGGTGATTCTCTTGCCTCACCCTCCCAAGTTGCTGGGACTACAGGCGCCTGCCACAACACCTGGCTATTTTTTATTACAGTTGTCGTTGTTTAGCAGGCCTGAGCTGGGTTCACACCCTCCACCCTCCGTGTATGTGACTGTCACCGTAACCACTGTGCTACGGGTGCAGAGCCAGTCTTACTACTTTTTAAGGAACCAGTTGTTTTGTGATTTTTTTTCTTCATTTCTTTGTCTTCTATTTCATGGATTATATGACTTTTTCTTTCTTTTACTTGCTTTTGTTACTCTGTAATTCTTTTACTAGTTAAATGACTTGAAAGGTTAACTTACTTGCTTTCAATATTCCTTTTTGCTGTTGTTGTTGAGACAGAGTCCCACCCTATGCCCCTGAGCAGAGTGCAGTGGCTTGGTAGCTCACTGCAACCTCAGACTCAGGCTTGTGGGCATCCCGCTGCCTCAGCCTCGGGAAACCGCTGGGATTACAGGCGCTTGCTGTAGCTCCTGGCTGGGTTTTTCCATTTTCTTCATGAGTCGGGGGTCTCTCTCTCACTCAGGCAAGTCTCGAACTCCTGTGCCAAGCAATTCTCCCTCCTTACCCTCCCACAGTGCTGGGATTACAGGCGTGAGCCACCTCACCCAGCTCAATAGTCCTTTTTTAAGAATAATCACATGTAAGGCTCACACTTCTCCCTTGTTACTACATCTCTGCCCCACAAGTTTTGTCATGTGGTATTTTTGTTGTCTTTAGTTTTAAATATGTCATGACATTGTAATTTCCTCCTCCACCAATGAGCTATTTTTAGTGTAGGTTTTTTTTTCATCCAATTAAAGGTTGTTGCTATTTTTTTAACCATGTTTTTATTGATTATTATTTTAAATGTTTCATGGACAGAGATCATATTAAATCTTGGAAAACTGTTTGAATTTCTTGTGACTCAGTATATGGTCATTTAAAAAAAAATGGCATGTGTATTGAAAATTGTGTATTCCCCACTTGTTGAGTTACTTATATTTCTATTAGGTTAACCACTGTTACTTTTATTCAAGCACCCAATATTATTACTGAAATTTTCTCTGCTGAATATATCAGTTTATAATTAATATACTAAAACAGCCCCAAATTATTATCAGTTTTGAGTTTATCAACTTCTTTTTTTAATCTCTGTATATTCATAAAGGTACTAATTAAATGATTCTTTTTATCTTGATGAAATAGCTCCTTTTTGTGCTTTTTTGTCTTAAATTTTATTTTATCCATATCAATATTGCTGCATCACCTTTTCTGTTGTCTGTATTTTCCTTGTAATGTGTATATTCTTATCTTTTTATTTTCATCCTTTCAGTTTTTTTCTATTTTAGGCACATATCTTAGTCCATTAGGGGCCTATGGCAGACCACCTCAGACGGGGCAATTTATCAACAATAGAAATGTATTCCTCACAGTTCTAGAGGCTGGAGAGTCCGTGATCTGTCTGATGAGGGCTTATTCTCTGCTTCAGAGATGGCACTTTCTTCCTGCGTCATCTCATGGCCAAGAGAGACAAGGAGCTCTCTGGAGCATCTGTGGAGGGCACTAATCCCATCCATGAAGGTGGAGCTCTCATGACTTAATCACTTCTCAAAGGCCACACCTCTTAATATTTCATATTTGGTAATAGGTTCTAACACATGAATTTGGAGGGTGGCAACTCTGTCATCATTTCATTGTGTCCTCCAAAATTCAGGTGTCCTCAATGCAATGATATTGGGAGGTAGACAGTCAGCTCCAACCTGTGAGAGCTGAGGTGAAGGCCATGCCTAGCAATCCCACAGGGCAGGGTTACCCTGTTGGGTTTGGGCCTTACATGGGTCCTATTACCCCTTTCTTCTTGCCTGTTGCTCCCATTTGGAGGGGAATGTCTGTGCTATGCCTCTCCCATCGTTGTGCTTTGAAAGCACATAACTTGTTTGATTTCACAGGCTCATAGCTAGGGAGAAGTTTGCCTCAGGATGAACTGTTCCTTGAGTCTCCCCCATATCTGCTTTAGATAATATGTAGATGAGACTCTGGACTTTAGATTTTAAGTTGATGCTGGAATGACTTAAGATTTGGGGGACTATTGAGATGGAATGGAAGTATTCTGTATATAAGGAGGCCATGAATTGGGGGAGCTAGGGGGAGCTAGTGTCTCCTCCAAAATTCACATGTCCCCAATACAACCTGGGGAGATGTAGGGCTGTGCCCTCAGGAATGGGACAAGGTGCCCTTATGAAATGGCACGACAGTGGAGTTTGCACCCTTGCCTTATTCCTCCTCTCTGGACCTGCAGCCCTCACCAGGTAACAAACTTGCCAGTGACTAGATCTTAGACTTGTTCACCTCCAGAACTGTGAGTAACACATTTCTTTTCTTTGTAAATGACCAAGTCTGTGGTATTCTGTTATAGCGGCACAGACAGACTAAGACACGGCATTCAGACCATAGTAACATGTTTATAAAAGGGGGACATTTTCTCCATCCAGTTTGATAGTCTCTATTGTTTAATAGGTAAATGAAATTCAGTTATATATTTATTATAAAGTGTTATATCAGAAATTATTTCTACCAGCTTATTTTATGTTTTCTATTTACTATCTTCTTATTTTTCCTTGAAGTTGGATTTTTAAAGCTATCTTTATATCCCTGCCCCTCTCACTGTTTGGAGGAGATACAAGTTGCATTATTGTTACTTTGGTAGCGACGCCTACATTTTTAGCACCTATATAACTATATCCTTTCTACAGTATTTATAGTTATTTAATACAGCTATCCTCTTTGCAATCTAAATTAACAAGCTACACAAAATTCCAAGAGTACTTTATCTGAGAAAACGTAGAGGATATGAAAATGTTATGTTCTAGAGGACTTGGTTAAGTGGCTCCAGAAGTGACTTTCATGCCATCAAAAACAATGTGAAGATTTTTGATTTAAGAATAATTATCCTTAACTTAGAAATAATAAAAAGCAAGAAGAGGATGGTGTGTTCTTTCCATATAGTAATACTATATGGAAACACTGTTTAATAGGTCTACCGCAGGGTCCCTTAATTCTTTATGAGAATTTA